ATATATTAATTACAGTACCCCCACTTCTGGTACAAAATTACATTATGCAACTTTTAATACTGTTTTGGTTGCAGGTAGAGTCATGCACTGCACAATGACTCTGAAGTCAGCAACAGATGACATTTACAACTGTGATCCTAAGGCAGATGAAGGGAACCCACTACTCCATGGGCTGCTGAACAAAAAGATCTGTTAAAATCTGTTAAAGTTACTATTCTTATCAATGATGAACTCTTTAAGTTCTTCTTCTAAGCATTTTTTCTGCTGTTAATTTTCCTGTAAATAAGCAAAGTCATGTTTATGGTGATTCTAGTATAAACAAACCTACTGTAATGCCTGTTTTATGAAAGTATATAACATACAATTATGTATAGTACACAATACTTGACAATAATAATAAATGACTATGTCACTGGTTTATGAATTTATTAAACTATACTATTATCAATACTCCAGAATTTATACCTACTTATTTTAGTTTACTGTAAAAGAAGATGTTGTTTTACCCTAGAAGCAGCCCAACACATCTATATACCATGTTTCTTGACAGCATCAAGAGGTGATATGAAGTGACAGACTTATATCATCTAGGTATCTGTAAGATGCTGGGAACTGAACCCCAGTCTTATACAAGAACAAGTGTTCTTAACCGCTGACTCATCTCTCTAGCCACTACTTTGAAATTTTTAAAATCAATTTATTTGTATTTTTATATGTACAAGTGCTATGCCTGCAAGTATGTAAGTGCACCATGTGCAGTAAATGCCAAAGGAGACCAGAAGTGAGTGTTGACCCACTGGAACCGGAGTTACATATGGTTATTAGCAACCATGTGAATGATGGGAACCAAACCTGGGTCCTCTGCAAAGGCCACCAGAGCTCTTAACTACTGAGTGGTCTCTCCAGGCCTCTTTCTTTGAGTTTTAAGATGAATGCCAATAGGTCCCAGAGTTATATATATGTACTTTTAATTTTTATCTCTCAGTAAAGGGTGTCTTTGCATAACCTTGAGTAGCAAGTGTCTTGATATTTAGCCTTTTAAACAACTTTCATCATATCTTGCAATTACCAGATCCAATGCTCTGGCAATGAATTATACTGCTTCATTTATTCTATGTTATATGGCACATCCCTGAATCTACAGGTATTGCCAGATTATCAACAGCCACTGTCTAACATTGTCTATTTTTATCTGCCATTTTTATTTCAACCATGTATTAACCTTGTAGTTTGCAAACTTGTTTGTAAAGTGATAACATTGATTTCTCATGATTTTGATTTGCATTTGTCTGACCACTAACGATGTTGAGAATTTTCACATATCTCCCATTTGTATAATTTTCTTAGAGAAATGTTCATTCGGATACTTTACTTATTTTTAGAATTGTTTTGACTTAAAAATTTTTATTTTATGTGTATGAGTATATTGCCTGACATAGGTAAGCATACCACATGCATATAATGTATGCAAAGGTCAGAAGAGGGCATTGGATATCATGGAACTGGAGTTTCAGATGGTTGTTAGCTGCCATGGGGGTGGGAGAACCAAAGCTGAATCCTCTGGAAGAACAGCTAGGCCGTTTAACTGCTGAGCCATATCTACATCCTCCTTTACTCATTTTAACTGAGTTGCTTGTCATTTCTTATTGAGTTATAAAAGTTGATAGATTAGATGATAGATAGATAGATAGATAGATAGATAGATAGATAGATAGATAGATGATAGATAGATAGAGATAGGAGTCATAGAATAGATAGAATATTTGTCCTTTATTATATAGTTGTAATAAGTGATGATAAAAAGATAGATAGATGATAG